GTTTTCTTGGATTTCAGTCCCAATAAATTCCAAATAAATGTTGTTTACTTTGTTCCTAACTGGAGTTTGTTGCTGGTTGACAAACCTCTTCCCTATGATTTGACAGTGATTCACCTCTCCCTCTGGGTATCTGTTCTGACACTATTTTAAAGGATTAATGTAGGGATGCAGCAGAAAATGTCCTTGCTCTTCCCAGTGTATTAATTAGACCTGGGTTTTAGTTTCCTCTTAGGAATATTCTTAAGATGATCTCTGTAGCCCCCATGGTTATCCTGTTATTAGCTGTGAAGCAGAGAGATTACGGCAACGCACACACAACTCCCACAGGGGCACAGCCAGCCAGGAACCAGAGACTTGTGTCTGAGCTTCATACTCCAAATAAGGACATGAAACCGAAGCCTGAGGATACAGAAGCTCAGACCCTCCTTATTCCCTGCAATGTTTTATTTCTGTAGATGCACATTGTATGTTTGACCTTTACAAGGTGCTTTCATCTCAACCAGACATATTTCAGAAAGACCATACTGCCTACCATGACATTGTTTCCAGCACTTAGAAGTTGAGGTGGAATCTCATTCTCTAAATCAATAGACTTCAATTTTAACACCAGGCTATCTTAGGGACCACAAAGGTGCATGATAGCCACAGAGGAGCAATGCCCTGGAGATGAACATCTGCATTTTAGGACAGATAAACTACATGGTGCATTTGCTTTGATAAGCCATCACTAGAAGGACACAAACAATTCTTGAATTTGCCTCAAGAAGTTAATTTTCCCCCTTTGCTTTAAGGTTCCCACTGAGACAACAGGCTGTTAGGTCTTTAACATATCTAGTTAGGTATTTATCCTGACACCAATCTTCATAGACATCCATGGAGGCTAATTAGTATTAGCTATTTGAGTGAATACCACCTCACTGAACTTCAAAGGTCAAGTCTTTTTATCTTGGAGTTCTTCCATCTTGTATATCTCTTATCATTTTATTGTTGTTTATATGATGTGTGTGTGTGTGTGTGTGTGTAGATACATGTGGAGGTTCAAAGGTCTACTTGTGTTTCTTCCAGAGTTGTTTCTACTTCACTTTTTGAAATGGTTCTCTTACAGAGCCTGAAAAGCTCACCACTTTGGCTAGACTGGATAATGGCTGCAGATGTACTTACCTCTGCCTCGTCAATGCTTGGGTTGCAGGTGTATGCGTAATGTTTGGCTGTGTGTATACGCATGCAGACACATGTACCTTTGTCCACACATAAACATCAGAGGAGGATGTCAAATATTCTGCTTGATCTCCCTCCACCTCGTTTCTTTGAGAGAGTCCCTCACTAAGCCCAAATCTAGGCTGGTAGCCAACATCTCCCAGTGAGTTTCTTGTCTCAGACGGTGTTAGCACTGGGTGCTAGGCTCTAACCAGTACTTTACCCAAGTACTAGGATCTCAAGGTTCTCATGCTTGCACAGCAAGTGTTCTTAGCCACTGAACCATGTCCCCAGTCTCCACGCTTGTTTGTTTATGGAAAGGTACAGGGTGTAGTACTATTTACTATTAAAATTATTATTCAACTTGAAGAGATAAGCAAATACATTGTCCCAAAGTGATTGAAATTTGTTGTATTTATTTCTTTCTAAAGTTTATACATTTACATATACCATATTATAATCCTTCACTGTTTGCATGATTTCTATTACATAAAAACCATTTCAAATGCAATAAATTTTGTTGTCCTTAAACAACAAAATACCCTCAACTTATAAAAACACAGGGACAATTATATTCATGACCATTTACACAATAAAGAAAGGTACTGTCTACATCACTGCTTCTATACATATCAGCTGACCCACTCGTCTTCAAGGTCAAGGTTACTTTAGTAACAGTGAAATAGGGTAATATCTATATACAATTATTTCAATAAAAATAAAGCAATTGTAAAATGTAAACTTAATTTTCAAAATATTCTTTAAACACTTTGACAATATCCACATAGATTACTGCTCCATTCTAACGACTACCACCTTGAATGGCACTATTTGGAGATGGCATTTCTTGAGTCTGGTGCGTGATAAGGAACAGGTTTTCAGTACATGGTGTGGGACCACTAGCTTTCCTAGGTCTGCAACAGCTGACCATTTGGCCACTGAAAAGGGGTGGGGGGCTATTTTGTCACTAATTACTTTCACAATTTGCAGGGGCATATGACACTGGAACTGTGGTGACACAGAAATGACCAATGGAGAAAACTTTGAAGGTAAAGGAATATTGTGCATTGCCAATCATTTGGAGCCACAGTAGATATAAACTGGTCGTCGATAGGCTGCCAAAGCCCAGCTCCTAATTATCTTAAAAGATACAGACTGTCACCCTTATGTGCATGCCACAGTAACCAGGGTTGACAACATGGGTTCTTGTATAAATTTATGTTCCAATATTGAATTCCAAAAACGTGAGGTAGAAGAGAATGCAGGGAGGCGTGTTGGCCTTTGCTCACCAATTCTCAAGAGAGCCGAGCATTGTTGAGCAATTTTATGTTCTTGACCCTTCCCACAGAAATGGAAACGTTATCCATTTCTGGAAATCTGGGAGCAAAGGAAAAGATATCCTCTGACACTGACCAGAACTCAATGTGCCATTTTGTTACTTGAAAAGACAAAACAAAGTTTTGCTTCAAACTGTGGATCTTGTCACACTTGTCTTCCTCCATGACTGTGTCACCCTCAGAGCGGATAGGATATCTTGCCTAAATAGGGTCAAGCCACTAGGACAGCTGGATTCCTAATGAACGTGGAACCCAGAACATACCTGCTGCTGAGCAGAAGCCCAAGTGGAGAAGAAGGCCAAGGAGAAGCTCCAGAGAGGGAAGATCTCCCTGCTCTCCACTGCCCTGGGCTAAGGGCTCAGAGCAGTGAGCCTCAGACCTGCTATGTGATCCTTCATTGAGCCTTGAGACTGGGACTTGAGAGTATGTCCAAAGACTGATATAGACCAATGGGGAAACTCTTAATGAAACTCCAAAGTTCTCTCCATTCACCAATGCTTTCCAAATTGATGTCAAGGTGCGTGTTTTCACACTACTACCAGTTAGAGCTGAGCTCTCCCCTGCAAAAGTGCTTTGTATTTGGGTTCGTGCCTATTTTCCTCCTGAAGAGCCTGGCCCGTGGACAAGTGCTCAGCTGGTTAGCACAGTCCAGTGTGATCTCTTTCACCTATATCTGAGGAGCCATGGCAGGCAAGCCACACCTTGGGCTCCAAAGGTAATATGGCCTCTCCGTTTACACTCTCCTCTGGAAGGAATGATCTGCGGAGTGCTAGCGAGGGGTTCTGGAGTCCCTGCCTATGGGTCACAAGAATTCCTTCAAGTTGGTGTCCACTAGAAAGACACAGCATCTGTCCCTGGCCCCTCTCAGAGTCAGACATCAGCACTCCATCATTTCCCCTGGTTCTTGGAACACATCTGTGATACAGTTTCCACTGTCTCCATTCATCACCTCTAGAATACTCTGGCCCTCGGTGTCTTAAGGTAATATATTTATATAGCTTAAAATTCTCTCTCTCTCTCTCTCTCTCTCTCTCTCTCTCTCTCTCTCTCTCT